CCTTCCAACCCAGGATAATCTATGATTCCTCTCACACCCTAAGGGACTCCGCTCTTGTTCCCTGCACACACGGACGTGGCAAATGCCACTCACGAGGTCGAGTCTGGAGTGTCAGGCACGAATCTCACACTATGGCAGGCAAGACTTGCCCGATCTACAACACTGAGAGCCTTCCTTACCTTGGACAGACAGCTCTGCAATGGTCCTGCTCCCTTCTTTCATCTCACAGATGTAAACGGCGTCATCGTCGGCGGTGACGTTCTGCACGGTGAGCCGGCGGTACGTGCCCTCCTCCTCGATGCTGTACTTCTTGCTCTGCCTCAGCTTGGTCTCCTCCTTGAACCAGGAGGTCTCTGTCCCGGGAACGGGCACCTCGCACTGGAAGGTGGCAGATTCCTTCTCCCTCACCTCGAGGTCCTTCAGTTTTTCCTTGAAGGGTATGGCGGGTTCTTCAGAGGGTGAAAACAGAAAGGGGGGAACAAGAGTTTGTGATGAGAGTGGGTTTGGATGGGATTTTAGGAAGAAATTCTTCATTGTGAGGGTGGGGAGGCCCTGGCACAGGTTGCCCAGAGAAGCTGTTGCTGCCCTTGTATCCCTGGAAGTGTCCAAGGCCAGGTTGGAGTAAAAGCCCGTAAAAGTGATCCTGCCAAAGTTGGGTCAATAACAAACAATCTGGTCATAGGAGAGAGCTCAGGGCAGCAATTCTCGGTGAGTGTGAGCAGCTGAGCTGCTCAGCCGGTGCAAGAACCAATGTTTTTGGGGTCTTGCAGTAGAAGTAAGCTCAGCAGAGCAATCTGAAAGGGCACAGACAGATGGGAGGTGGCTGAGCACGGGATTGATGTGGGGAAAGCACAGAAGTAACTGAGGGAGGAGTTTTCTGTGCTCCCCACCAGCACCAAAGACCCTGTATCAGCTTTTGTCAATGACAAAAGACAAAGAACTAGAGAATGAGCCCAAGCCTCCCAAGTGCCTCTGCCTCCCTCCAGCAGTGGGGCTGCAGAGCTCTGGCTTAGGGAGAAACCAGAGTGTGGATCAAACACACAGAACAGCTGCATGACAGGGAGGGAAGTCATTTTATGAACTGAACCATGTCTAATTCCAGTGACAGCTGAGCAGTGACATCATCCTGATACCCCAGACCAAAAGTGGAGAAAGGGGAGTTGGACAGCTGGTGGTCACAGCCACGGGACTGGTGCCACAGTCAGGTCACAGACTTGGATTAGCCAGTGCTGATACATCACCACTCATCCTTCATGAGAGATCATGTCTTGATATGTACCCTCACTTTCTGATAACCACCGTGCCAGCTCCCAGCTGGTTTTTGTGACTCCATTCTGCCTCACTGCACTCACAGCAAAGAATTTTTTCCTAATACCTGATACACACTTCCCCTCTTTCAATTCAAATAAGATATCAGACTCTGAGGGGTTGACAGGACACCAGGAGGGGGCAATGCTATCGATTACCTTGGTTGTTATCCTGAGATTAAAACCAGGAATCCACACAGGATGTTCAGGAACATGATGACACTCACTGACCATGTCAATTTGGTCATTTAAAAAAAAAAATTATATGTTTTGCCTTAATGCACCTCAATTTAAGGGAAGTCAAAGTCTTGCCTTGAAAAGCCTTCAGCTGTGGTTCCACAGACCTGCCCTTCCCACACTCCACATGGCAATTGTCCTTCTTCCTTTACACAACAGGAAACTCAGACTCCTGCCCTGCAATCCCGTGTATCACCCTCTGGAAACACCCCATGCTCCCATTAAGGGGGGATGAAACAGGACAAGCAAGAGGATCCTTCCAGTACACCTTAAGAGGATACAAGAGAGCTGGAGAGGGACTTTGGACAAGGGTCTGGAGTGATGGGACAAGGGGAAATGGCTTCACACTGACAGGGTTGGGTGGGATATTAGGAAGGAATTCTTGTCTGTGGGGGTGAGACACAGGCACAGGTTGTCCAGAGAAACTGTGGATGCCACATCCCTAGAACTGTCCAAGGCCAGGTTGGATGGGGCTTGGAGCAACCTAGGCTAGTGGAAGGAGACTGGAATGAGATGGGCTTTAAGGCCCCTTCCAACCCAAACCATTCTGGGATTCTATGAGAGCAGGAAAGCTTTGATCAGAAGGATCATGCCAGGCTCTGGGAGCTGGATGCAGTGCTGCTGTGTGAGATGGGAGGGAGACTGGAGCTGACACTGGGAACACACACGGAATGCGCAGGGGCCAGAAAGAAATCCGAGCCGCACCTGAGGAGAACACAAGTGCACTCCCATCCTGGGAGCAACTGGGCATATCATTAACCCCTCTCCCTTTACAGGCACTAAGCAGTACCTAAGGTGAAGGAAAAAAAAAAAAGCTGTTCTAGGAAAAAGCTCTTAAATGTACGAACACAGAAGGGTTGGTTGACCCTTTCGTGTGTGTGTTGCAGTAGCAGCACTGCTCTCCCAGCCAGGAAAAGTCAGTACAAGGCTATCTTTGGCAGCTTGGGGTCACAGATACCCTCTGAAAACAACTTTGCTTTCGTCCTGCTGACATGTGCACACGTGTCTTATCTCACTCTGAATGGAGCTTCAGAGAGGCAGCAGCTGATAAACTGAATTAAAGCCTGGGATGCACCCAGCCCACTCCTTCTTCTGCTTTGGAGTTGCTGCAGTGGCTCCAAAACCCACCAGCCTCCTCCTCAATCATGCTCTTTGCATGATCCAGCATGTACCTGAGAAGGCAGAGGGAGTTAATTTTGGTCAGGGGTCTGCAGAAGAACCATACATAACTAGAGAGCAGGCATCCAAACTCATCAGCCCCCTGCCTGGGCCAGAGAGATGCAATTAAGGTAAGAGATTAAAAAAGAAAGCTGCAAAAAACCTACCTACTGGGGAAAATGTGAGGTAGACACAGCAAAGCAAAACCCTGAGGGAGCACAGAGCAAGAGCAGCTCGTGGAGTTTGCAGGAAACTGCAAGAAATCAGCTCAGGGATGAATTTGGCCGCTTGTCTCGAGGAGATATTTCTCCACAGCGTCATAGGCTTTTTTGTCTGGCCCATAACAAGCAAACAGGCAGTGAGATGATGTTATTTTTAAGAAGTAAATCCTGCTAACACATATTTTGCTAAGAATAGGTGCAGCCTGCAGAGAAGCCAATATTTTCTTAACCTTCCCAAGGCACATCTGTCTGCTGGACCTCACTTTCTCACTCACCTACATTCCCTCTTGCTTACTGCTGGTGTCCTCACAGGTGCTCTATTCAATATTCCAGAGGTAAGTTTTCCCTCTGCAATCCAGTGAGAGTAAGAATATGGAAAATCCTCCCACCATGAGCTATCTAAAGACGGATAGACAAGCTTCCACCCTCTTGTGCCCTTGGTCTTCCTAGTTATTGCGTTTTCCAAGTTTCCTTTCTAACTCCACTTTTCTCAAGCTGCAGTTCTCTCCTTCAGATCTCCAGTGTGACTCTCATGATGTTGGTCACCCAAAATCACTGCAGATCAGAGGGAGAATGAAGTGGCCCTCAGCACCAGCCTGTTTCTCCCTGTTTGGCTTGCAACCTTTAACCTTTCCATACAGTGTCTGATTACTTTATTCAGGGACTCGGATGAACATTGGTTGGCCCAGGATGGAGACATGAATGCTGTTCTCACTAACTTTACAAGCCTAGGGAAACCTCCAAAACCTTCAGGAAACTCAAGCTGGTTTATTCATGTGTCTCTCATCCTCCCCACTCTCTGGTTTGTTAAAGGTTTAATCTTGGGAAGAATTTTCCAACTTCTTTTACAGCTCAGTGTATGGATTGTGATTTTATCCCTGTTCTGGAAACATTTCTAAATCTAATCAAGTTTCAGTTTTTCTTAATTGGGAGGGTGACTCTCTGTCCTGTAGCATCTCCTTTGAGATTTAAGTCTGATTCACTAAATCTCATTTAGGAACAACTCAAAAATCTCTTTCTTTCATCTCAATGATCTTTAGGGCACAAGTTCAGCAAAGTGTTCACAAACATGTTGGGAACCTGGGTCCTGTAGGTCCTCAGGTCCCCAGGATCTAGACTGACAGAGTGTAGGAGGCTTTCTGTGGATGTCCCATCCTTGGAAGTGTTCAAGGTCAGGTTGGACAGAAAAGCCTGGTCTAGTGGAAGGTGTCCCTGCCCATGACAAGGGGGTGGAATGAGGTGGTCTTTAAGGTCCCTTCCAACCCAAACCATTCTGATTCTGTGATTTTGGAGGTTTGACCTGTGCCCACTCCTATGCCACAAGAGACCACTAAGAGTCACCTTACAGACATGATGCTGGGCTAGGAAGTCTGGGGTTTTTTATTATTATCTTTAAAAGACCCATAAAAATTCTCACTCAGATTCTTGTGTTAAAATTCTGTGAAACCAAAATGCCAGAGGATATTTAAACCCACACAGTTTATGTTTCCTGATACGTGTGTCTATGGACACACACTGTGCATGAAGTGTCACAGGCTCTCTAAATATGCTGTTACTTGCAGAAAGACCAAAAGCAACTTGGGACTGTCCCTTACAGGGCCAGCAGCTGGACTGGGGTCCCTTCCAACTCAGGATATTCTATAATTCTATTATTCCAAGATTCTATGATTCTAAGGGTGGCTGCTTGGAGCGTTCAGCCTCTTCTACACGACTGAGCAAAGGGAAGGTTGTGTGGCAAGATAATCTCCCTCCCTAAACCCCATGGCAGGTGAGCAAATGGTATCACCAGTGACATAAATGACAGAATTAAAAGCTCCCTTTGCTGCTGTATCATTCTGAGCTGTCTTGGGAGGGCTCAGAAGCACTTCTGGTGACACAAGGGAGAGTCATTTATCAGGGCCTAATTATAACCAATACATACAGATTTTCCATGGCAGCCTTGGCCTGGACAGAAAGCCAGACATGGCACAGGGTAACAAAAAAAACAATCCATAAACATTTCCACTTCATCCCTCTGACTCACAGGCATCTCTGGACAGTGGACATTGATCAATAAATAAACCTTTTCCCATGGTGCTTGCTCCCAGACCCGCTGCTTCCCATGCTTTCCCATCTCCTTTGGAACAGGAGGTGTGGGAATTAATTCCTTTAATTCCCACAGAGAATAATGACATAAGCACAGGCAGAGCAGGGGCTGTTTGTCTGTGCAAGGAACTGAGCTTGAGGCACCCTTGAAGCCATGGCCCACCCAAGGGCCAGGATCAGTCTCCAGCTCTGAGGTAATCCCAGCTTTATGGAAGAGGACAAATGCCCTTCCCAACACCACTCAGCACCTCTGAGGGACAGCAATGGGTGGGACAAGTGCCAGCGAGTTCCACGGATCAGGTGTCACTGATGGACACTGAGCCACTGACAGGAAAGGCAGGGTGAAAAGAGAGGTCCAGAAAAGGGAAGCCAGAAAAGCAAATAAAAGCTGAGAGTCTTAAAGACAAGCACGGAACACAGATTCCTGCTCATCTGGATTTCTAATATCTTGTGCTTCCAGGGGAAAATCGTTTGTCTGTTTTTTTAAAACCTGTTTTACCACTGCAGTGGCAAAATCTTTAGCCTCTGGCAGCTAATTTACAGGTGCTGCCTGGGTTGCAAACTGCCTGCTGTCCCCTTGCCAGATGGGAGAGCAGCTTGAAAATTTAGAGCTTCCTGGAATGTCCAGGAAGGCCAGGTTGGATGGGGCTTGGAACAACCTGGTCTAGTGGAAGGTGTCCCTGCAGAGGAGGTTGGAACTGGATGTTCTTTGAGACCCCTTCCAAATCAAACCATTCTGGGATTCTATGAAATCTCTGTCACATTTTTTTTGCCACTGAGAACTTGGTCTGACCTCCACCAGCATTGAGGGACCCTCTGAAGTCAAGCTCATCACCACTGACCACGGCAAACAGAGGCATGCTGGGCCTGTTGGATTTCCTGGGAGCAAACAAGGAATACAGGCTATCCAGGAACACAAGCTGGGAAAAGGCTAAAGGCCTGGCAAGAACAAGGCTGCTGGTGGGTTACTGTACAGGAAAACTGAGATGGACTGTAATTAGAGTTGGGGTGGGTGCCCCAAGGGATCTCAAAGGCAGCCAGGCACACTCAGCTTGTAGGGAGGAGTTTCCTCTACTACTGTTTAAAAGGCACATGTGCCAGTGTGGGCAAACCCCGTGGGGAATACAAACCCAGATGTGATTAAAGCCTGGAGGGTCAGACAGGGCATTAGCAGTCACTGATCCAGAGCACGGTAATGGATCTCTCAGATTACTACAAAACCAAGACTGATAGGACCTTCAGAGATCTTATAAGGACCCTAAAGACCATCTATCTGCAACCCCCTGCCAGGGGTATGGATGCCACCCACTATACCAGGTTGCTCAAGTCCTACTCAGAAGACTTGAGTTCACCCCAGCTGCCCCACAACCTCCCAGTTCCACATCACCCATCCCTGGCTGGCACCTCTTTAATGCCCTTCCTAAAAACTCCCTGGTGATGGAACTCTGTGCCCAGGTCATCTACTCTGGTGCATAACCCCCTTTTCATTGGGAGGGTTTTGTTCTCATCCCACTCATCTTTGCTCTCATCTGACCCACTCCTCTGAGAGCAAGGATATGGAAAATCCTCCCAACAGGAGCTCTCTAAAGATGGATGGACAAGCTTCCAACAAGGGTTTGGTGGCAGTTTTGCTCCTGCCCCCACCCCAGCTCAGAAGTGCCCTGGCCGTCCCCTCGCAGGCACGTGAGGGACACGAGCACCCACCTTTGACGGTGACGAGCACGGAGCTGTAGGTCTGGCCCGCCAGGTTGGAGGCCGTGCAGGTGTACAGCCCGTTGTCCACCTGCTTGCAGAAGAGGATCTTCAGCACGAAGTTCTCCTGGTCGTCCTCGTAGATGACGTGCCGCCGCCCCTCCGAAATGACCTCGTTGTCCTTCTTCCACACGATCACCGGCTTGGGCTCCCCCGTCACGTAGCAGCTCAGCTTGGCGTGCTTGCCCTCCGTGACGCTGCACGTGCGCGTCAGCGCCCCGAAGGTGGCGTTCCGAGCCCCCTTGGAGAGCCCCGTTGCCCGCTCGTAATCCCGGGAGAGCCCGTAGGCGATGCCGGACAACCCTTCGGAGTAAGACTGGGCAGAGGTCGAGTCCAGAGTGCCGTGGGAGATGTCCATCTTCCTGATCTCCTCCCGCCTCTTCTGCAAGTGGGACAGCAGGGACGCCGTCTTCCCGCAGCTGGAGTCGAAGTTGGCGCTGCTGCCCGGGTTGGAGGAGCCGTGGGTCTCCACCACCAGCGCGGCCGAGGCGCTGGCGGAGCCGATGAGGTTCTCTGCCCGGCAGGTGTAGGTGCCACTGTCCCCCAGCCGGGCACACTGGATGGTCAGAGCGTTGGACTCCCCGGCGGACTCGATCTGGAAGCGCCCGGCGTCCGCCTGGTTCCGCAGGTGCCTCCCGTCCTTCTCCCAGTTCACCGAGAGGGGAGGGCTGCCCTGGACCTTGCACTTGAACATGGCATCTTCTCCCAGGGTTACCTTGATGTTGGAGGGTCTCTGGATGAAGTAAGGGGCCTGCTCTGTCACCGTGGTCTCCTCCCCCACCTTGATGCTGACGGCGGCAAAGGCCTCCCCGATGGTGTTCTTGGCCCGGCAGATGTACTGGCCACTGTCCTCCAGGCTCAGGTCGTAGATCGTGAGCCGATAGAGATCCCCGTCCTCCGTGGTTTTAAACCTCCCCCCAGACTGGACTGGCAGTTTGTCCTTCTCCCAGCTCACCACCGGGATGGGGTTTCCGATGATCTGGCAGCTCAGGGTGGCATCCTTCCCCACGGACACCATGAACGCCTTGGGCCGGGTCAGGAACCGGGGGACTCCGCTCAGGGAGCTGTAATCCATCCTGGCTTCCTTCCTAAAGGGGGAGAAACAAAATGTGTCAGGAAAGAGAGGATTAGAGGGTGCAAGCAAAGAACTGCTGCACTCCCGTGGTATCAGGATGTTTGTCATCTGGATCAGCCAGGTTTTTAATGTCCTTCTCGGGATGGGAGAGAAGGCCTTTGAATGTTTTTGGCCTTGAAGATTTCCTATATTTGAGGTTAACAAACTGTTGGTGGATAAGGGAGATCACTTCCCCATGGGAGGCAAATTAGACCTCTCTGGGCAGTTCATACAGAAGGAACATGATGGTCCCTTTCACTAATGCTCTGGAAGATATGGGCAAGTTCTGTAATTGTAGGGAAACAAATGGGCATTAATTTCTGAGAGATGTGTCTAAACATCAAGATACTTCCTCCATCATAGAGCCACAGAATGGTTTAGGTTGGAAGGGACATTCAAGATCATTTTGGGTTGGGTTCCAACCACCCTGCCATGGGCAGGGACACCTTCCACTATCCCAGGTTGCTCCAAGCCCTGTCCGACACGGTCTTGGACACTTCCAGGAATGGAGCAGCCACAGCACAGGTTGCCCAGAGAAGCTGTGGCTGTCCCATCCCTGGAAGGTTTCCAGGTGAGGTTGGATGAGGCTTGGAGCAACCTGGGATAGTAGAAGGNTAGGGAAACGAATGGGCATTAAATTCTGAGAGATGTGTCTAAACATCAAGATACTTCCTCCATCATAGAGTCACAGAATGGTTTGGGTTGGAAGGGACATTCAAGATCATTTTGGGTTGGGTTCCAACCACCCTGCCATGGGCAGGGACACCTTCCACTGTCCCAGGTTGCTCCAAGCCCTGTCCAACCCGGTCTTGGACACTTCCAGGAATGGAGCAGCCACAGCACAGGTTGCCCAGAGAAGCTGTGGCTGTCCCATCCCTGGAAGGTTTCCAGGTGAGGTTGGATGAGGCTTGGAGCAACCTGGGATAGTAGAAGGTGTCCCTGCCCATGGCAGAGGGTTGGAACCAGATGATCTTTACAGTCCCTTCCAACCCAGACCTACCTAACAAGAGAATCTCTGATTCTATTATTCTGTGATTATGCTCACAGGAGTGCAAAGCCACGTGAAGGAACTGCCCCAGGGGATGGGCACAGCAATCCAGACAGTGCCAGCCTTCTCCAGAAGAGCCCCACATGGCTTAGGGATTACAGGAAAGATGTTTCATCATCTGCTTATTCTCAGCTGCCCTCAGAGGGACCCGTGCACTGACCTGCAGCTGTTTGATGATATGGACCAGCCAAGGGGATGAGGCTTCAGCAGAGTTGAAAACTAAAGCTCATGGCAATTCTGGAGCCACTGTGTCCCAGGAAAGGCCAAAGCAATCAGTGGTGCTGATCTTCACAGCCATGTTCACTCACACACCGACTTTACCCACCCCTGTGCTGTTGGAGATCAATCCAACAGCAACCACCTCCTTCAGGGCAACCCCCAAGACCCCACAAACACTCCTTCCTTCCTGACTGCTCCTCACATGCACTTCTGGATGTTCTTTCCCTTCTGCTGGAGTCATTCCACCTCTAACCCTCCAAGGGACCTTTTGCACGGACTGGGTAGGATTTACTTTGGCAAGTGTAGCACAGCTAAAGATCTACTCTCAACCCCACTGACACCAGTAACTGTGCACCAGCTGACTCTCTCTGGGAGCAGGATTAGACCTGTTGATGGTGCTCTGTAAGGAATTTGAGCTTCCCAGGTCCAAGCCTCTCTGGAAGCCAAAGAACCATGGAATAATTTGAGTTGAAAGGGACCGAAAACATCATCTATTTCCAACCCCCCTGCCATGGGCAGGGATGCCACCCACTAGACCAGGTTCCTGGAGACTTCAATGCACCATTTCTCTCTAAACTGTTTTATTTCCTTGGCCTCATGATTCCAGACATCCCTGTCCTGAAAAGCTCCTGTCTGAGCTTTAGGAATGGTCCTGCTCGGGGGTGATCACAGTGCTGCTCCCACAGCTGTGCTTTTTCACCTTCAAAGTGCCACAAAAAGCAAAGGGACCAGGGCTCTCTGTGCTGTAACTCAGAAAGGAAATAAAAACCAGTCACTGAGACAGAAATATCCTTCTTAATCCTCCAGCAGTTTGGTTTCCCTGCTGGCCACACATCCACCCACTCTCTCACCCAATGGCAGGTGCTCTCACAATCCCCCTCCAGCTCCGGCAGAAATCAGCAGGAGCAGGCCAAAAAACCTGCTTTCATTTCTTAAATCACCATTTTTCCATTCTTCTCCAGCTCCTGTCAGAGTATTAATGTTAATGTGGAAATCACTGGTGGCACCAGGGAGAGGGATTTGGATCAACCTGCTGCATGGCCTTGGGAAAAATCACTCATTTTCCCATGTTTCTTGGCTCCCCTCCTACTTATTCATATCAAGACAGGGATGGTCTTTATAGTTATTATGAAATAATTACATTCACAGTATATATATGACAATGTACTTGCTGAGGTACATGGCAAGTCATGAATGAAGATGAATAAAATTGCAATTTCCATTCCATTTCTGCTGCTGGGGATTGAAAAACACATATTGCCATCAAAAATAAAGACTGGGAAAATGGTCACAAAAATACCAAATGCTATTTGCTAAAAGAACTCAAGAAGTTTTTGGGCCATGCTCTCAGGGACAGGGTGGGATTGTTGGGGTGCCCTGTGCAGGGCCAGGAGTTGGATTCAATGATCCCTGTGGGTCCCTTCCAGCTCAGGATGGTCTGTGATCATTATTATCATTGAAGATGCTACTGTTGAGCCAAACTCCCAACTTCATTTGGGTCACAGGCAAAACCAAACCTGGTCTTCTTTCTGTATTTAGCAGGAAAAATACACCATGTTCTGTCCTATCCTGTCTCTCTCATTCCAAAGAACACACGAAATGACAAGAAGCAGTCAAAGACTTTTCCCTTTGGATGAGATTGTTCTTTTCTAAACTAATTTCAGTTGCTTTTGATTCCTGGCATGAAGCAAATTTCATTATTCCACCACAGAACTTTAGAGATTAAAGAAAATGGTTTCAAATATTAAAACTGGGAGGGGAGGGAAAAAACATAATGGGGGGAAATCGTTTTTAACAAACACTAAGAGGGTAAAGAATGATTGACTTGAAGTCATTAGTGCCAACACAAGCTGACTTTCTGTTAATGGGCCACCTTCAATACTAATTGCAACGAACACACAGCTCTGGTTTTCTCTTGGTCTAAAAGTGGTCTAGAAATCAGTGAACTAGTTTGAACTCCTTTAGTGCCTCTTAATACCTCCAACCTCTGCCCTCACTAGAGCTTTAAAAATGTGTTTTCCATAAACACCTGCAAAGCTGTGGGCAGAGAAGCTGCATGAATGGTTTGAAGGCACAGATACGAGCCCGGGGCTGGAGCCAAAGTACACTGAAGTCAGTGGAAATTTCCACTGAGGCCAACTGATTGACAATCAGTGTCTTCTGCTAATTTGGGGAAGCACCATGTCAGTGTTCAGAAGGGGATGTTGAGGTTCAAGCTGTACTCTGGAGAGCCCAGCAGCACCATTCACTACATGAAATAAGAGTTGACAATGAAAACACGGGCTCAGAGCTCGTGTCCTGAACTTTCAGGGCCATTAATTTGGATTTCAGGCTGCCCTGTGTCATCAAAGCACTTGGATTTATCTTCAGGAGACGTTGCCATGTCTTATCCTTCCTGGCTCCCTGGTTGTCTGTGATAGATGTGTCACTCGGACTCATTTCAGATTCACATCCACAGCGTAAAAAAGAGCAAAAAAAAAAATAAAGTTGCTTCAACTCTCCACCAAACTGAGCCCTGCATTACATGGAGAAGTGCCTGGAGCACTGGGATGGCAATGGACACAAGAGGTGCCTGCTTGGGAACCAGCCAGGGACCTTCCAGCAAATAGTGGCTTCTCTCAAACCACCTTTCTTACCCTCACCTGGAGCCCAGGAGATGTATCCATGCCTGGAGCAGAGTTCTGCTCTGTGGAAGCATGGAAAGGGCTCTCAAAGGCTGGCTCTTACAAGAGCAGGAATGCTGACCACTTCCTAAAGCTCTTGTGCATCCTCCTCCTCTCTTTTCCATGCTAAGCAGTGCCCAAACACAGCCCAAGTACCTCTGATAGTGAAGAACAGCCAAAACACAGGGAAGCTGCTGCACCTGGTGCCTGTTGCTTTTGCTCCTGAACCAGACTGATGCACCAAATCCACCCAAGACACTTCTTTCCAGTGGCCTCAAGGCCCAGCTTCCCTCTCCTGTTGCTCCCAAACACTTGCCTGGTGTTTGCAACCCCCTTCTCTCCATCAGCAGGAGCCCACAGCCCTCCCAGGGCAGGGTGCAGACCCCACATCCCTCGGGGTAACCAGCACCTCCCCCAGCTTCCACCCCCTGCCCTCACACTCCCAGCTTCTTACTCCACTATGAATGGCTGGGATCCAGAGGAAAACCCAGGGATCAGTGGAAATAGGGTTCATTGCTACCTTTCACATTTATTTCTGACATTGTCAGAAAGAAAAACACGGTTTATTCCTTGCTCTGCTATTGAATTACTTATATAAACAAGAGAAAGACACTCAAACTCTTGGATCTTCAGTCCCTGTCTGAAAAACAGGTAAAAAAAAATCTTGTTTTATGGGTGCTGAGAGCATGAAATCCAGTAACAGGCATGAAATCCTAACCTGTGGCAAGGATGAGGCTGCAAGTATCTAACACATCTAACAGGTCAGACAGGCTGCATGAGATAAATCACATTTTATCTAATTTTAAATGGGATAAAATGCATCACGTTGAATTATGCTCATAATTATATTTAGGAGTAAGGAGAGAACAAACTTAACATGCAGAAAGGACAAGATTTAATATTTCTACAGCATAACTTGTTAATCAACTTGTCAATCAACTTGTAACTTGTCAATCAATTTAGTAAATAATTACATTAATTTTGGTTATTAATATGTTCATTTAAACTTTTTAAAAAATCCAGTGACTCTTGAAGTTAAAAAAAATAATAATAACTCTCTGCAAGTGCCAGGACAGCTCCCTTGGAAGGGACAGGACTGACAACAAAGCATGAATAAACCAAGTCAATGCAGATGCCCTTTCCAATAAATCTCAGACATTTGCCAGTGTCACATTTCCCCATGTAATCCCTCTGTGATTAATCATTTGCAGCAGAGATCTAATTCCCATCTGGGGTAATTCTGAGCACGCCAAAGGAAAACTGGCAGCACTGGTAATTTTAATTATGTTGTTATTCGTTCAATTTTTCACTGGTTTGCGTTTGGGGGGAAAGAGGCAGAAGTGCACAGACCTGTCAGATAATGCAAATAAATCACTGCCCAGGAGCCAAACTCGGCCGTGCAGCCACCCAAGGCCTCCTGCCTGCTCCTGTCCCCTCCACTTCCAGTCTCTGCCCAACACCTGCTTCCCCTGGACAAGCAAAGAAGTCCCTTGCAGTGGGAACAGCCACAGGCTTCTCCAGATCCTCTTGGAGTACTCAGAGGTGGAGCTCGTCAGGAGAGCCAGGAGGAGATGGAGAGTCCTGGTGGTGGTGCCACAGAATCCCAGGATGGGTTGGGTTGGAAGGGACCTTAAAGATCATCTCATTCCACCCCCTACCATGGGCAGGGACATCTTCCACCAGCCCAGTTTGCTCCCAGCCCCGTCCAACCTGGCCTTGGACACTTCCAGGGATCCAGGGGCAGCCACAGTTTCTCTGGGCAACCTGTGCCAGGGCCTCCCCACCCTCACAGGGAGGATTTCTTCTCAACATCCCATCTAACTCTGCCCTCTGGCAGTGGGAAGCAATTCCCTGTGTCCTGTCCCTCCATCCCTCATCCCAAGTCCCTCTCCAGCTCTCCTGGAGCCCCTTCAGGCCCTGCAAGGGGCTCTCAGCTCTCCCTGGATCCTTCTCTTCTCCAGGTGAACCCCCCCAGCTCTCCCAGCCTGGTTCCATCTCCTGACCTCCTGTGCTCTGCTGGCTCATGGCTTGGTCTCGTGTTGCTTCATCGATGCTGATCAGAACCTGGAAAGCCTTCACCAACCCCCAAGGGCTCAGAGGTCTCCTCCCATGGCATATTGCCCCCCCCAAGCCATCAGCAGCCTGTGACAATGCTCTTTGGCAGGAGAAGACAGGGGTGGCAGGTTATTCTCTGTCCAAGCCTTTCACTTGGGTGGTTAGAAAGGGAATCCTCCCCACCCTGACTCCGGGCAAAGTGCAAAAAGCACAGTGCAATCCATCTCCTAAAACATTCCTGAGGAAAAGGTGGTCACGAGTTGCACACCTGCATAAAGGAGGCTTTGGGGATGTAAAGCCCAAGGGAGGATAAACCTAAATCCAAGAGATCACCGAAGGCCAAACACAGATTAGAAGCACAGAGGCTCTCTCAATATCACATGAATGCCCACCATGCTCCTGTTTGCTCATTTTCTCAATCCTCTTTTACCCTTTCTTTGCCCAAGTCAAAAAACGCTGATTTGGGGTATTTTTCTTGCCTTTAGATCTCATGTTTCCAGGACTTTCTTTGCAATACTGACTTCTAAGCCTTGTACTCCTTCCTTTCCTGATGGGAAGGGCAACATTCACAGGGAACTTCTTGCCTCTGGATCCTGAGCTTTCCAAGAACATCACTAAAGCAGAAGCTGCAGATAAAAATCAAGGCAGTGCTGGTATTACTACAGTTTACATGACATCTCTGCGTGTATTGTTCTATCTAAAACCATCAGGAAATGGAATTCATGGGTGGGGAGAGAAGTTGGTGGGTCGGTCCTCTAATGGGAAATGTGGGTTTCCTTTGATGCTTAAGATCCTGCTGAGGGGAAGCAGCAGTAACCCCCTGCTGCCCTCCTGCTTCCAGCAGCCTCCCAGGGAATGGACAGCTTGGAAATAGCACCAGTGTCCGGTGTCAGCTGCGGGCTGGGTGACATCAGATGGGCTCTAGTGGGGGCCCGGGAGCCACCCCAGCAGACAGAGTGCTCTGAGGGTGAAATGCACACCAGCACACCCAGAGCTCCCTGCCCATCACGGCCCTAAATCAGGAGTAAGCACAGATTTGCACCAGCTCATCAACCCGAGATCCCAGAATTTATCCCATGCCCGTTTCAGCAGAGCAGGAACGGGATCTGTGGCCGAGGAGCTGGGCTCAGGGCTTAGTTTGGGCTATTCTGAATTCCACTTCAGTGAGGGACAACCCATTTTGGCACGTTCAAAGGTCACTGGATGAGCTTTCCGTGGTGGATCCATCTCCTGCACTGGAGATGTCGGACGCCGAGGTCCTGCGACACACTGAGCCTGTTGCAAGGAGCTTCTAACTGGGTCCAGAGTAAGGCTGGTCTGCATTCCCTGCCATCTACTGCCTCCATCATAATCCAACACCCACAGGAGATTCCTTTAAGGGGAAGTTCACAGCAGATCAGGGGCTGACATGGTGTCAAACACGGTGAGCAGCCCCCGGGGGAAAAGGCTCCGCTCGAGGCAAGACCATCTCACAGCTCTGACCTTCAGGGCAGGGCTAAAAATGTGCCAACGGATTCAGAAAGGACCTGCCTGACCTCGTGCTCCCATTATTAATCCTTTATCGATAACCTGGGCATTTCCAGCGACTGGCAGCAAACAGGAGCCAAAACATTTAGACAATTCCAAAAAGAACCAAGAATAAATCACCTGGTTAGTGAAATCTACTGGGCAAGGCAGTCAGATCACCTTCTAGCACATTAGTAGCACACACTTATTGAAAAACATGGGAGACTGAAGGCACTTGGATGATTTATATGCTTAAAGCACATATTATCTTTCTTCCTGGATATAAAACAGACCTATTGCTTGCAAAGCTCTTCCCTCTTTTCAGCACTTTCCAACAACACACCAACAGCTCCAAGAGCTCCATGCAGCAAAGGGACTTCATCCTACTTGCAGCATGGGGGCTTCACTTGAGATTCCACCTTCAATGGAGCTGTAAAACCACCCCATAAACTTCCAGAGGCCTAAAACTGCTCAGATCAGCCCCTCAAGATTCCACAACAGCACCTTCCCCTTCTATTTTTCTGAGCCTAAAGGCAACAAGGTTGATCCGAAGTAAGAAAAGGCTAAAGCACCAGGGAGGTGTCAGGCTCACAGTGATGCTCATTCCTGCTCTGTAGGGGTGAGAATGGAGGAGACAAATGGAGGGAAAAGGCAAAAATTCCGGGTTTGCCACCCCGGGGACAGAGAAGGAGCGAATTAAATTCTGGCAATTTCACCACAAAAAAAAATTTCCTTACAAATTTCCCCCTGACTGGCCTTTGCTTTACACACAGCCCCGGAGGGAAGCAGCTGTGGCAGATCCCAGAAAAAAAAAACAACCCAGACTTGCAGGGACAGGAATGGTCTGGGTTCAGCACACGTGGTTTCCTATGCGAGGCAGCCGCGGGATCGCAGCTCCCGCACGGACAAAGAATTCCCTCGGTGACAATCGGCAGTGGCTCCCACCTAAGCCCTCGCATTTTAACGAGTGGACGTCATTGTCATTACAGTCACTCCACCCCATTGAGCTGGAGGGCCCAAAATAGCCTCAGCTGTCGGGCTCCATCTCCCCCCATCCCTCGTCAGAGCCCTTGGGAGGACCGGGAGGAGGGTGGGGGGTCGCAGAGTGAATCTGTCCTGACACTGGGCAGGAGGGGGTAAAAAAGCCCTGGTTGGAGAGAAAAGCAGCTCTGAAACTATGCCCTGGAAATGAAACTTTTCAAAGCACTCCTTGCTGCCACTTCTCCACAGGAGCCACATGTTTTCCAGGCTTTCCAAGCACTGCTGTCTCAAATTTGGGGACAAAATGTATCCAGCAGAATCAACAGCTTTAAACTTGATTCTTCTCTTTTCTCCTCTCCTCCTCTTTGCTCATTTGATTAGGTGGCCAGAAGTAATTAAGCAAAACACTCCACATTTGGTTTGGAGCAGAGGAAGGATGGATTTACTCCCTGTACCTTCAGCTTCATCCCCCAAATATGTTTCATAAAGCAAGACATACCCCAGCACGGCACAGAAACAACCTCACCCCTCCCTCAGCTACCAACACTCTCCACTTCCTGCTGGAAATCAGCATCCCCAAAAATCCACCTCTCCTTAGCTGAAGGCTTAGGTCTTACCTGGAGTCTTGTCTGAGTCTGAGGAGAACAAAGCTCTGGGCAGGACAAGAAAAAGCCGATTCCTACTGAGATGACAGAAGGGGGAAGAGGGAAGAGGGGAACAGAGGACATGGGGAGACCATGTTGGTTTGGGTTTCCCCCCCCCCTACCCCCTCCAGGAAAATAAAACAGAAACCCCAGCGATGGCAGGGACGTGCGGCAGA